TCTCATAGAGGAGAATGGTGTCGAGAGGGAACTAGGTGTGTTTCTTACAAGCACTGAAGCAACATCTCTTCTAGCTATTTGACCTGCTTGGCTTAGATTTCATTCATGACCTTAGGTGTAGTAATAGAATTATGCCTCTCTTGGACTGTCATAAATATTGTGTGACAATGTAGTATCCAATCAGAGGTTTAGTTGGCATCTTGTAATTTAATATAGAGCACACATAATGGAAGTGTCTATCAAATGTCTATGTTCCGTGTTAACACTGATACTAAAATTAATGTGCCCATGGCTGCACTTAGGTTGTGCAAGAGAATATTGCCAGTCTTCTAAAATAAATAAATAAATACCTCCCAAATTAACTATATCATAAAATATCAACTGAGAGCTTATTAAATTTTGCTTTAGTGCTCTAGCTTTTAGTTCATGTTGATTCTTGATTTGTGCATGTGCCATAATAGCAAGCGTTCCAGGTCTAGCCTTTGAAAATATAATGTTTTTGTCTCATCTCATTTTCAGTATCATTATTAATTATATTGTCTAAAAGAAGATTTCCTTAATGGTGGTTTTTCAGCTCCTCTCCTTTTGTTCCACCATACAGGCCTCAGTTCATGGAGAGCTAACTATGATTTAGGGTTTCACAAGGATAAGCTGTGTCTATGTAACAAAATTTAATGTTTACAAGTGTTCTCTATTCTTGTAAAGATTAACATTAGTCCTTCTATTTTGAAATCAAGGATTAAGGGTGGAAAAGTCTAATTTGAGGAGGATCATTTGTCTAGAATGTGGCAGAATGAGGAACAAAATCAAGATATCTTTGTTCTGACCTATGCTCTCTCTTCTATTTACTCCTATATCAGGGAAAATTTATTAAAAACATTTTGGAAATAAGATTATCTAACTCAAGCCAAGCATGTAGTCCATGCTGCAATTCCCATGTTTGGGAGGCTAAAACAGGAAGCTCTAGGCACTTAAAATACTTTACTTACCAGCCACGAGAGTAGGCTATCTTAAGTTCCAGGCCAGCTTGATCTAAATAGTTGTGTGTGTGTGTGTGTGTGTGTGTGTGTGTGTGTGTGTGTTTGTGTGTGTTTAATATATATGTGTGTATGTGTGTAATATGTGTTTAAAATACACACAAACACACACACTTGTATATATACACATCTTAACTTACTTGTCTTCAAGTATTGTGTACTTTGAGTGACTCTGTTGGTTTGGATCACCCTTGTTTTCTAGGTTTCAAATGTATGTGAAGGTTCCAAAGAAACAGTGGTAATGTTGGAACAAGATCTTAATTTGTCAGAATCAAGTTTAAAACCTTTGAGCAGCAGTTCTCAACCTATGAGTCACAATCCCTTTGGCAAACATCTATGTCCCAAAATATTTACATTATAATTCAGAACAGTCACAAAATAATTACAGTTACAAAGTAGCATTGAAAATGATTCTATGGTTGGGGGGGGGGTCATCACAACAAGAGGAACTGTATTAAAGGGCTGCAGCGTTAGGGAAGTTGAAGACCACTGCTTCAGCGTGTTGGAGGTGACTACTTTCTGGTTTTGTGATGTTGAATACACATTATTTAACACTCTCTGCCTTAGCTTACACATGTACACAATAGGGATAATAGCTGCATCTTGCTCACAGCTATAAGAACTGAGTCATTTATATCAGAGTAAGGCCTGTACCAAGTCCCCAGTCTGAGTCGCTGTGTTGCTGCTGGTGGCACCATTAAGACTGGGAAGTTAGTGTCCTGTGTGGACACCTGTCATTAGTGTGGGCAATGGCCTCCCTCCTCACAAAGCAATCCTTAAGCCAAGCTAGCAATCAGCATGGAGGGAGCTTTTGCAAAAATATTTTCAAATGTTTATGTTTACTCTGAAGGATTAAAGAACACATAAATACACAAATGTGCATTCTCCTTCTTCCTCAAAACAAACTGAAGCTCTTTCCCCTGAGAACACAGGGTTGGAAATGATGGGAAGTACATTTTGTTTCCTTACTTTACTGGGAATGTCTGATGAGAAGCATGTGTTGTGCCCAAGGAGAGATCACAAACAGAGTCAGCCTAAACCGTCTCCCAAGACCTGAGCCAAATAAAGCCTCCATTGAACATTTGTGAGTCGCAAAGCCTCAGCATACTAGCATCTTTAAATTGGAGGGCTAGGTGAAAGGAAAGGAATGATGCCTGTTCTGGCTAGTTTTTATGTCAGCTTGACACAAGTTAGGGTCATTTGGGAAGATGAAAACTTAATTGGGAAAATAGGATGACTACATAGGATTGGCCTGTAGGCAAGTCTGTATGGCAATTTCCTTGATTGGAGAGGACCCAACTTACCATGGACAGTGCCATCCTTAGGCAAGTGGTACTGGATGAGTTAAGAAAGCAATATGATCAGCCATGAGTGAGCAAGAATGTAAGCAGTGATCCTCTATGGTCTGTGGTTCAGCACCTGCCTCCAGGTTCCTGCCCTGACATCCCTTTGTGATGGACTTTGATGGAGACATGTAAGCTGAAATAAGCCCCTCCCTCTCCAAGTTGCTTTTGGTCAGGTATTTTATCTCAGCAGTAAAAACCCTCCCTAAAACAATGCATATCCTTCCTAAGGCATCTGTGGGGGAAATGAAAAGTATATCCGAGGATTTGAGGTTCACACCACAGGCATTTACCAGCTGTTTGACTATGGACAAGTATATACATACATACACATATACATACATACATACATACATACATACATACATACATACATAACCACACGCATACATACATCTTCTCTGCTACAGTTCATCAGATGTAGTTAAGAGTTCACAGAAAGAGATGATTTAGTCTTGCTGAGTATCCAGTACCAGTCTAAAACTTGGACGCAAAGTAACTATGAATAAGGAGCTACTTATTCAACCTCTTCAGAGAATGCATGGCTAAGGTTAGCATGGAATAAAACCTTTGCTTGGTAAAGACAGAGTAGCACAACTGGGTGTTAGCTAGTGTATGTTCACTGAGGCTGGAGGACTTCCCATCTCTTTCTCAGTTATACACAGGCACACAGACACACCCTCCTGAGCAACTGCCCTGTGGCTTTCTTCTTAATTCACTTGTAGCTTCCTCTGAGAGGCTTTCCCTGACCCTAGACTCCATTAGGTCCCTCACTTTGGAGCTCTTGGAAATCCATTCAGCTTCCTCCACCCTCTCAACAGTTTGCAGTCACACATGTGTGTGAGAACTTGATTACTTCTTGAGTTTAACGTAAACAACTGTCCCAGTGAAGCATTTTAATGATGGGAACTAGGGATTTCAGCTCTAAAACCATGTAAGTCCTCTCCTTACCTGAGTGAGTGCACTCTCTGGCCTTCTGCTTGAAATAATGTGATTTATGAGAACATTCACTCTGTTCTTTTTACCATTTTTCTCCAGTACCTGCTCCACATCTGGGTCTCAAAAGAATTCAGGAAACATCTGGAAAAGCAGTATGAATGATTATAACCATGTAAATTAAACTCTTTTCTTGTAGAAACTTGTCTCTTCCACACTTAAATTATTGTTTCTGTTTTAGGTATTAAATGTCCCCCTCTCCCTCTTTTTCATAAAAGGTCCCATTACTTGACAGAATTTAAAGTTAATAGTGTTATATAGTTTCTTTGCCTTTCTTCTCTTTGACTTTCTTGGCTTCCTTCACATTTGGAGGTCAGAAGGCCTACTGATTTGAAAAATGAGCAGTCAAGTGAAAAAGGAGCCAGAATCATTGGCATTGGGGTGATTATAGGTCTATCTATCTCCACGCTGATGATAGAAGGTGAAGTTCATGAGAACAGAAATTACAGCTACTCAGTTTTCTTCTCTATCTCAAGAGCTTAGTGTAGTTCCAAGCTGAGTAAATATGTGTTGAACAAATAAATGAATAGATCCCGTTCCTGGAGACCTGATGGAGGGAGTAGAAGTGAGTATCTAGCCACCATCCCTTCCTTCTCAGGAACATTCATCATCGCCATGCATCTGCCTTCGACGGTCATTTCTGCTAGGTAGAGGAAAGACCTGTACTATCACAGCTTTGTGAAAAAGTGGCCCAGCTCCTCCTGTCGCAGCTCCTCTTTTACACACTTCCTTTTCTCTAAAGGACCCCAGTAGATGGTTGCAATAGCATCGCAGAATCTTGAACTTCACCTGTCTCCCAGAGTCTTTGTTTCCTGTAGCCCATTTCCTATCATCTAGCTAACTTCTGCTAGTCTTTTCAAGCTAAGTCTTTACCTAAGAATTCAGCACTCCACCTTGCCACATGTCAAAAGCAGACTATAACAAAAAGGAAAGTTTATTGTCGTAAAATAGCTCATGCTGTGGTCATCAAGATTTCAACCTAACCTAAGTGATGAAAAGCTGGCCTTGAGTGGCTGCAGCACAGTTGATAAAGCAAAAGGATCAAGCACTTTGGCCTTTTCCTCGTTAGCTGTGCATTAGCTTCTTCAAAACCAATATGTAGCCATTAGATTAGTTGCTTATAGCTATGGCTTGATGCCACTGAATCATGGTGTGAAGGATGCAGAGTTAGCCATTTAATTTCATTAAACCAGGCTGACAGAGTGCTTTGTTTTGATTGGAGCATTTGGGGGAATCAGGACAACTCAGATTTTGGCTTCTTAGTTAAGGGTAATTGACCTTATAAGACTGATCTAGGCTGTCCTCTCATGTAGATGCTGGAGTGGGGAGGATGGAGACCACTAATTCTTTCCACAGAGAGGAAGCTAGCTAGCATTGGAAACCTTTGTCAGTGACTGTTCAAAATGATCACTTCTGCTAACTTGACATCTGGATGAATTGGTCAGCAAAGGGTCCACAGATAGAGCCATGCCTTTCCTTGGGAGAGAGTGACTTCCCCATCATAAAAAATATGTAATAAGAAGCTGAATTCTCTGGTGGTAGTAACACCAATGGTAAGAGAATAAAGCTCCCTGTATTATTGAGGGTCAATGTTTTCAAACATATTATCCCCTTTTTGTTCCAGATCAGCAAAGATCCAATTTTTGTGCCAGGCGTTTGGGGACCTTATTTCTCAGCCATGGTTCCTGGCTTCTGGCTGAATGAAGGTGGTCAGAGTGTGACTGGAAAATTGGTAAGTTGGGGCTTTTTCTATATGATTGTGAATGTTATTATACCATCTTTGCACATCACCTATACACCCAGGGGCTGGAATGCTGGCAACTCAGAAACCAGAAGTCAGCATAGAGCCCAGTCCTCAGTATCTGTGGTGTGCAGTATGTGTTCACTAAGTGGGTGAGTACTGCTCAGATTGCAGTTGCCAGCTCTTTTTGACACTGTTTGTTTCCTGAAGCCCTTTTTGAGATGACAGTGTCACCTGCCATCATTCCCTCGGTGATTCCCAGCAGTACTAGTAACAATTAAGCAAACCAATCCAGATAATCTTCCAAGGACTGTCTCCTCTAGGCCCATAAATATACCCGACACTTAGTCTAGACTATAAAGAACTCTTCCTAAACACAAGTTCCAGGTGACTCACGTAACTCCATTCCTCTGTCCCTTTGTGCTAGATTCTCCCCTGCCCTTTTAGAACTGTTTACTATCTTGATGATATACTTATTATTTAAGATATAATTCTAGCTAATCTAGTTTAAGTTCAAGGAAAGCCTCTCTGAGAACATTACATGTGAATTAACATGAAAGTCACCCAGAATCTGCTCAAGTGGATGTGTGCCTCTATGTATGTGTGAGAGGAAGATGGAGAGTATTTCAGCCATGGTGAGCACACAGTTACTCTATCTAGCTTACTAATTTGCTTCTCCAAACACAGTCAGTTCCTTGAAGCAAGAACCATACAATGACTCTTTTTATATGAAGCCTGGTTCTTTATTCATGGGAGGTGCTTCATAGAAATGTGTTGAATTGTTGGAACTGTTTAAGAGAGAAGACAGAAGATCCATAAAAATGGGATGAATACTATTAACAGGTTCTCTGCTAGGCTAGGAAGTTCTTTGCATTTTGTATTGAGCCAAAGGAAATAAATGGAGAACCAGGGAGGGAGTTCACAATCACATGAAAAGATGTGAAAGTGAAAAACATATGCATATTTGAGGATGAGTGCAATCAGTCCTGAATTTCTGTGTGGTATAGATTGTTCTTTAAAAAAAAAAAAATGGTTCACAGTAAATGCTAAGAAGCATAGCAGGGACCAGATCTTAAGGCTGTATAAATATATTTCCTAGTTTGCTTTTAGTTACTGTGTTTAAACACTGTGATCAAAACCAATTATTCACTTCCAGGTAACAGTGTTTAGTTAAGGAAAATTAGGTCAGGAACTCAAGGCAGGAACCTGAGGTCAGAAACTGAAGCAAAGACCATAGAGGAGTGCTGCTCGCTGCTTACACTGCCTGTCCTTTTAAGACAGCTTTCTTAGCCCACTCAGCCCCATCTGCATAAGGAGGCTGATACCCACAGTGGGCTGTCCCCCGCCCCCACTTCATTCATCAACCAGGACCATCTCCCACAAACATGGCCCCAGTTAAATCTGATCGAGGCAACTTTTCAGGTGAAGTTCCCTCTTTGTAGATGATACTAGGTTGCATCAAATTGACAATAAAAACTAGCACAATTCATTTCTTCTCAATTTGATAAACAAACGTATCACTGTTAAAACATAATCTTTCCTTTCTTCTCCCCAAGATCTCAAGTTAATGTCATAATTTAGAAAAAATACTCCAATCATAGAAGTCTCATGGTTCACAGGGCTGGGGAGACTGTTCAGTGGTTAAGAACGGTGGATTTTTTTCTGGCAACACAAAGTGCTGAGAATAAGTGAGAGTTGCATATTCAGCCCTAAACAAAGTATTTATACTGTCTTCTTTTGGGCACAGGAAACACTGAGGAAGACCAAGTGGAAAGAATGTAAGAGTCAGAAGATAGGGATAAGGGCCATCAAATGATTCCTTTGGGGCTATATACAATGGTGATTATGGACTCTCAGCAGTATGATTGTCTGCACAGGGATGGGGGGTGGATGCAGCCAAGCAGAGGTGGAGGTTGGATATCAGGGTGCCCTGCCCCTCACTGCTGAACTGTTTGCTACAGATAGATTCAGGGAGAGGGAAACCCATTGCCTTCCTTCAGTTGTGTACCTACTGGTGACCCCATCAGGCTCCAAGTGATAGTTCTAATCCAATAGTGACACAGATGGCCCTTGTTAAACTAAGTAAAAAGCAAAACCAAACACCATGGGTATGGGAATGGGACAGGTAGGGAGGAGATAAAGTTGGGAGGAGTAGGAGGGCATAAGAGAGCATGGGCAGCAGAGGATAACCAGAATGCATGGTATACCTGTTTGAAAATATCAGTGAACAAGTTTAATTAATAAATAAAGAATTAGACTCATTGTCTACTTATTTCACACATTTAATTTTACTGATATTTATTATTTGAAAAGCACACACTTCTTTCCTAGGAATAAATGACTTTAGTTGAACCATGGAGTACCCAGCGAACATTGCTTTGAGCTTGCTGATCTGCCAGAATAGCTGCACAGGAACTCTTGTTCCTTGCATAGACTTTTTGCACAACATACCACATCATAGTCGGTGGGGCTGCCCAGTCACTCTCCAACTGCTCTTCTCTGTATTAATTGGAGTTGCTTTTTAATACTCAGGGAGACAGACCAGTTGCTGAGCTGTTTCTAAAGTGGCATTGGCCTTCTGAGACAGTTTGACTCAAGATGATGGTCATTCATTCACTCATGTGCAAGGATTACCTGATCTGTCACACTGGGCCAGGCAAGAATGAGGTCACTCCAGTAGTCATTAAATAAGAAAGCTAGACACAGTCCTAATAATAAGTATAATTTATCAAAGCACATGAAATAGTTGGTAGTATACCTGTAGCATCCTGGAAAGATAGGGCCTTACATTTACTAAGGACCTGTTGTATGGCAAGTATGTTTAGGTCCATTAATGTAGGCAGAGTTTCCTGTCCCAACTGCCTGGTCCCAAATAACTGACTCAGAGGCAGAATGTGAACTGTAAATGCTTGGCCAATAGCTCAGGCTTTCTACTAGCTAACTCTTATATTTAAATTAACCCATTTCTATTAATATATGTATTTACATGTGGCTCATGGCTTGTTACCTCATTACTACACATCCTGCTTTCTTGGTGGCTGGCTAGCATCTCTCCTGACTCTGCCCTTCTTCTTCCCATCATTCTCCTAGTTTGTTTTCCCCACCTAACTTTCTGCTCAGCTACTGGCCAGTCAGCTTCTTAGCTTTTTATTACCCAATGATATGTGTGTGTGTGTGTGTGTGTGTGTGTGTGTGTGTGTGTGTTCATAGTGTAGAAAAGGATTGTTGCACAGCACATTAAGATTTGTCATTTCCTCTGATCTTCACAATATGTGTATACATTCCATGGTGAGACAACTTGATCAAATAACCAACAGTCATATTTAACTGAAAAGTCACAAATTGGAGCTAATTTGCTTCCAGGTCTTACCACAACTGGCCCTTACTTTTAAGAAGTTATGTTTCCAAATATTTCTTTCTCTTGTAGACTCCTTTGAGAAACAATGACTGTTAGTTGTGGTGGCATCCTATTTAAGTATCTTGAGGCAAATTTGATTGGCAGGTTTTGCAGGACTATGAGATAAGCATACATGTTTCAGTGTTGATTGAATCTATGGTATATGTACACATGTACCCAGCACTTCGCCATGGTGCATTGGGATGACTTCATGCATATACAACAATGGTTCCTTCTTCCCTCCTTCTACAGAGCAACCTATTTGGCATCTCAACACTCATCTTTCCTCTCTAACTCTTCTTTTACAGCACAGCTAAGGTAGTTTTTACAGCACAGGTCAAACATTTGTGCTTGAATTAAGTCAAAACTCTTCAGAATGAGTGCTTCTATAGTAGTCAAGGTACTGATATGAATGGGAAAATGATAATGGACAGCCATTTCTGACTGGTCAGTACCATTCTCAAGCATACATTCTGAAAGGAGATAGATATACAAATTGATAAACACATGTCATTTTATGTCATAGGACTTTTTAATTAGTAGAAGTGGTGCCTGTGAGTTTAAGTGAGCAGTTTGCAATTTTTCTTTATGTCCATTATATATGTGTGTGCATGCCCAAGCGAGTGTGTGATTTTTGTCATGACCCAGCGTGTCTCAGCCTTAGTCCATGAGATTCTACCTGAGTGGAATGATTCTACCTGAGTGTGTGGACCTGGAAACTCCCAGCAACCCTACGGTGATAAAGATCAAACACAGGCATCTTGTCATCCTTAGAGAGCTCTCAGTTCCATGCTATAGAACTACAGTCATTTCTTTATTAGCCATCTTTTCTGCTGTTTCTTAACCATCCTGCCATGACCATGAGGGAACCATTTCTCTCTTTGTTCCCTCTCTGCTCTCTGGTTGCTCACCCCTAACTCCTAACCTTCTATCCTCACAAGTTACTCCCACACCTCTCACCTCTGCCCAGGTGAGGGCCTATCCAGATACTTAGGTCCACAGAGATGCAAATAAGAGGCATATTACCCTGAGGCCATGGTAAACAATAGTAGCCTTACTGGCATTAACAATACAATAGTGGGCCGGAGCTTTCCGGTGCTCCATGTTTAGTGAAACCCCAGGCTGGATCTCAAAATATTCCATAGCGGAAATATTTTGGTCCCCCACAGGTGTACACATGCACATGGGGATGGGGCATGCATGCCAGAGTGCACATGTTGAAATCAAAGGGGAAAATTTGGAAGTTCACTCCAAATGGAGTGAAACCATGTGGGTTTCGAGGATTTAATTCAGGTTGTCAAGCCTGTCACCAAGTGCCTTTACATGCTGAGACATCACGCCAGCCCAGAGTTTACAATTTTAAATAAGGTGGTCAAAGTATTTGAATAAAGAATGAGTAAGGAAAGGAAGTTAGCTATTTGGAGACTGAGGCAAGAATATATCAGACCACGGGAACCATCAGTACATGGAGCCTGAGAGTGTTGCTTTCTGGGGGTATTATAGAAACAGCAATGGGGGGGTTACATCAATGGAGAAAAATTAGAAAGTTAAATCATAACTTTGGCCACTGTAAGGATTTTCACTATTACCCAAA